ATTTATCACATTCAAGCGGGCCTCACGTGGCATCTTTTTTCATCTATAAATAAAAGTCTAGCTTCAGTTCATTTCATTCTGTTTTGAGTTCAGTTCATTGTGTGCTCTGGAGTTTCTGAATATAGGAAGATTACTTATATACTTCAGTGAAGTTCTAATTCTCCTGCAAGTTAATTAAATTTTCTTTTAAGATTTATTTATTTTTTAAAATTTATTTACTTTGTTATTTTCTTAGTTTTGTGTTTAATCGTGTTTTTTAAAATTTCAATTAAACTTAACCTAGATTCTGCTTAAGCTCTTTGTAAGTCCTATTTTAAATTTCTATCAGTTCATAATCCATTAGCCTCATGTCATCATCCCTGCTTGAGGGCTGCAACGAGAGAGCTGGGTTTGCTCACCGCGCTATGAGCTGTGTAAACATCACAATTTGATCTTCATCCTCTACCACATTACAAAAAGCATGTATATATTATTTGCATAAGAATTTGCAAATTACTTCACTGTAATGTGAAAAATGCGTATATGTATTTAATTATGAATTGCTAATTGCATCGCGAGTGTCACATATGAGTTTCGCCTCACCACACTATAAAAAACATGTATAGGATTCCACTAGTCATGCAAAATACACTGCAATCATAATTTCAGGAGTTTGGGTTTGCAAATATTATACTTTAGCATGAGGCGAGATGATGAATTTGGTAAACCTTCATGAATTTCAAGGCAATATATTTCTCTCTCTTTTTTTTTCTGTTTTATATTTATATACGTAGGCATGCATATATACATACATTTTATGAAATATTTGACTCAAACTTCTCAACTAAACAACCATAACAACAAATTTAATCCCAGCATAACATTAAACTCATGTCTTCTCTGTTTTACTTTGAATCCGAGAATTGACTGTTTGTATGGCAAATTTTGAGGAGCAGGATTCTATAAGAACATCCAAGCAACAACTATAAATTCTACTCAATTTTAACCTGCTTGCTCTCTTAAGCAAAACAGTAAAAATGACAACTCTAAATTTTGCCAAACTTCAAATACTATTACCTGCTTTAAACAGAAAAACCAAGAATGACAAGTATGAACTCTTTCTACAGATTCTTAATTGCCATTTTCCTTCATTTTACCATAATCTTCTTGAAGAGAGGGAGATCTGCCTGTGTCGATGTGGTGCTGGAGTTCAACTGGGAGGTGAATGGGGTGTTGTGTGTTGAGCTAAGCAAGGAGCAGTGGGTGAGGGAGTAATGTCGCTAGAGATTGGGTTGCTTGCATGATGGTGTGGTTGCATGCTGCATGCGGCGAGAGTTGTCGCGGTTCCAGAGGTTTGCAGGTGGCACATGAGGATGTGTGGGTATGCTGCTGTTAAGAGAGAGCTGGTAGCTGAGTTTTGTGTGTGAAAAAATGAGGGTAGGGAGGTGAGAGTGATGCCTGCTAGCTTTGTGAGCCGGTTGCAGCTGCGTGGAGCAGGGAATTTGTGAAGGCATGTGGTGGGGGG